ACATTTGCTTGATCCCTCGAAAAAAAGATGCGCCCGCTTTGGCAGGATATCTCTTTGAAAAATCATCTTAAGTGAAAAATACATGTTTCGGTTAAAACCTTAACTTAGAACTTGGATGAAGGAAAAAAATTTGGATTTTTGGCAGATATTTTTAGAAAAAAATTAAAACTCATTGAAAATTTCGCGACATTTTTGGTTTTTTAAAATAGTTGTAATTGAAAAAAAACTTCATCCAAGTCTTTAAGGATTGTATCTTAAATACTTGTGCAAAATTTCATGAAGATCGGTTGAGTAGTTCTCGAAAAATCTTGTCAACCGACTTCGAAAACACAGTTTCGAGAAAAATGCTTTTAAAGACGGCGTACATAGTCTAGCTATCTTCGAGCGCGCAAATTCTGGGATCAACTTGAAAATTTAGGACAATATTCTGGAGGTGTTGTAGAATTTGAAGATAATAAAAAGAAATCGACCCGTAAACCCATGTAACCCCTTAAAGATGAAAATCTTTGGTAATAAAAATTAAGAATTATATGATTTGGAACGATATTTCTGCAGCATTGAAACACTTAATCAGTGATTTGTCCTTAATCATCTAAAAATAAATCACAAAATATTAGATACATACATTGTAGGTCATATTTATACATATAATATATATATGCATTAATAATGCTTATACAATATAAATAAACAAGAAATAATTTATATATTTACGCCTTAACTTGGTTAAAATGTGTAAAAATATTTACTTAGGTGTTAATGGCAATTTGTTGCGCCAATAACTTAATCGACCCGCATGCATCATAATTTAAGGGTGAGAATGTGAATAAAAACTGCGGTTTAAACCGGAACTTGAGCATTTATGGCAGCAGACACATGCCATGTCCATGTTTTGTCCACCATTTCATACCTTCCGGCGTTCCTTTGCCTCTAACGTTCGGCGGCTGAATGCTGACCGACGTTATTCCATCGCGTGCAAATCAGCCGGCGCTAATTGTTGGGCGTTAATACTCATAACACATGCATCCCAGCACATACATATGTATAACGGTATGTATTGGTATGTGAGGGTGTTTACACACTTGAACTCCTGCGGCATTCAGCTGATAGGCTTAAAGGCTCTCCAATAATTTGCATAATGAAATATGAACTTCGAACAAAGTTTCGCTTAAAGCAAGGAAGGTTAAATGAAATTTATGAATTAAAACAAGTGAGGAAGGGCTAAGTTCGGACATCTTTTTACTCTTACAACTTGCAAGAATCAAAGCTAAGAAAATACCTTAAGGTGTNNNNCTAAGTTATGCACTCATTTAAGAAAGATTTACGTGGTTCGCAAATAATCACAAAAAGTATAGATCCGGTCTGATCAAATTTGATCCTGACTGAAAACATTTTTATACGTATTTTGTTTAATTAAAAATATTAAATCTTTATACGCTCCTGAGTCAGTACAAGTATGAGATCTTATACACATCTAGATGTGTATAAGAGACAGTATATATATGTTATATATAACTCATACACTGACGGTCGTATTCCTTTTAGGGTTTATTAGAAAATCTTTATACACCTGTAATATATGTACATATATGGGAGTTAGGGGTAGTATCGACCCGATTTTATTTATTTTTATCACTACTACATACTATTAACATGCTATGTATTAATAAATTATTCCCAGAGATTCATTAAGGTACCTCATATACCATACTCATTTGTAGTAAAGTCACCCGAATGTTGTTTGTTTGTTAAATGGTACCTATAATATATTTTCTCCCTTTTTTGTCGACAACGACATACTGTAATCATCATCATATTGTTTCATTTGCATTGAGGTAACTCACATATTAGCCGATATATGCTGTGTAAAGCTACCTGGAAGTTTGAAAATCGTTGTATGAGGTATGTGAGAGCTAAGGGAAGTATTGACCCGATTGAAAGCATTTTTGACACACAGACATACCATTGTTAGGAACAGATTATTCCTGAATTTCAACTATACATATATCTCACATATTGATCGATATTTACGGTAAAAATTCAACTATAGATATTGGGGTCCAAATGTTCGGAGCCTAGGGGCTTGAACAGTTTTTGTTGCATTAATACAATTTTTGATAATTGCCACCTTATTCATCCAAATTTGATGGAAATGTAAGAGACTTAAAAGTGGGCTTTAGCTACGCCCTTCACGCACGCGACATTGGTCCGATTACGCCTATCTACGAGCTTCGTCTTACTTTTTTTGCCAAGGAACATGTGAACCAAATTTCATCAAGATATCTTAATTTTTACTCAAGTTACAGGTTGGATGGACGGACAGACAGTCACACAAGGATTTCAACTCGTCTCATCAGCCTGACCATCTAAGTATATACATACATATATTCCCATTTGTAGCTCGCTTAGTTTTAGGTGATACATACAACCGTTAGGTGAACAAAACTAGAATACTCTATACCAATATGTTATATATCTATATAAGAGTATAGAAATGTGTAAAACAGCGATAAAGCAATTGAATATAAGTTATTCATTACCTAAACTAACCAAATCAATGTTTGTAGATTATTTGACATAAAGACTGCAAAGTATGGTGTTTTTAGTGAAGACTAGATGTGGCTAGGTAGGCTGGGTCCAACTTAGGTATGTCGCATTGTAATGTAAGGTGTTAGCTTTTAGAAAGTTTGCCATAGTGGGTAAATTAGTCTAACAGCTTTTAGTAAAAATATGATGGTAATTAAAGCTGAGAAATTTCTTTACCAAAGGTCCTGAAATGGATAATTGCCCCGGTTATAACTGGTATATTAGTGGCAATAACAAAGGTTTCGATCTTAGAAAGTAATAAAGAGATGTACATAAAAAATGTTCATAGTTCAGTACATCTTTCGAATGAAATTCTATTAACTACGTTCTGGCGTTCCTTTGTACAGGATGTGGCAAAACTCAGAGAGACTTTAGGGGTTAGCCACGCTCAACTTTAACAACTTATAATGAGAGTAAGAACAATCAGAATAAATTTCTATTAGACTAAATGGACAGTATAATTACTTCTGAGAACCAAATATCCTCGCAATTATACTAGAGTTAATAAATATGCTTATCTAATGCATTAGACACTAACTATTTTTAGCAGTACTGCTCAGATACTTTACTTTCACTGGCTCTTAAATATATTTCATACACAAAAGTCTACTAGTAAGTTGAAATATTCTCAAATTGTAAAATAAAGAATACGAAAGAGAACGAAATTTCTTAATTAACATATGACAAAAGGCAAAAGGTTGTTCTGACTTGCGTTTCTTGTAATGCAATATGTCATTTTGGGTCGGTCATGCGTTTAGAACCATTTTTCTTTCCATGCTTTATTGTGGTGGATTTTCTTTGTTTTGTAACGAATTGTGTAATTTCACTTTCACTGAATGTAAAAGCCCTTAAATGAAAATGCAAATAATGGCGATGTCACAACTGTCATGTTAAAACCCGTTAAATAAATGTGCTTAAGTACAGGGTGGTTCAATCACGGACGCTTTCTAATGAATTCGAATTAAGTTATTTGCAGGGAGAATATTAAAATAGAAGAGAATAAACTATAGGTAATATACAAGGTGTGTTCCAAAGAAAACAGGACTTTTTGAATATAACGTCCCCGGGTGGTGCCATCTATATGTCGACTGGTGCGTTAGAATCTGTTATCTTTATCAATTCTCCAATGAAATGTTGTGAGGAAATAATGACATAAATTACGATCAACACGTGGGCCAATCAAAATTCGTAATCACCGGAAATCCCATCGAAACTGTGCGTGAAGGGTGTATGAATTAGCCCCCACTGAATTAACTTAAGCCCCACAAATTTTAAAACAAAATTAAAAATAGCGGAAAGTGGGGCTAAAGTCATTTTCGTGGGGATTAATTCCTTTTTTTCGTGGGGATTCTGCATTGCAAGAACATCCACGTTTGGTGGGGCTTAATTCATTTCGATTGGTGGGGATTAAATCATTTCGTGGGGTTTAATGTATTTTTTTTGTGGGGATTTCGTCATTTTTGGTGGGGAAAGATTCACTGAGAATTTGGTGGGGCTTAACTCATTTTGCCCATTGGGGGTTAATTCAGTGGGGGCTAATTCATACACCCATGCGTGAATTCAGCAAAAATTAGATGAAATCCTCATTGAAATTCAAGGAAATTGAATTGAACATCTCCAAAACATCGATTTATCGCATTTCGATCAAACATTTGGGCTTACGAAAGGTGTGTGCACGGTTTGTTCCGCACAAATTGATTGACGACCAAAAGTCACATTTCAACCATTAACCACTCCCCGTATTCACCTGGTGTGGCACCATGCGACTTCTTGCTTTTCGGAAAAATGCATTTGACCATGAAAGAAAAGCGTTATTCAGACGTAGAGGCCATTCAAAAGGCTTGCATCGGCATACTGGCGGCCATACCGGCCAACGAGCTAAAACACTCGTTCGACATGCTTTTGGATCGTGCAAAAAGCTGTATTGAAGCAGAAGTAGACTGTTTTGAATAAAATAAATTTATTTTGCCCAAAAAGCCATTAATTCTGTTCTGTTTTAAGTCCTGTTTACTTTGGAACGCATCTTGTATAAGCTTTACTAGGGAGAAAAAATTAAGTGTTGTTGAGTGCAATATTTGAAATCAAAGCTCTTTAATAATAAATATTTAATTGTTTAACATACGAAACTTTTATAGGGGGATCCACCCTTTATAAAATCACGCATTGTCCATCACATTTCAAAATCATAACTTTCATCGATCATTATTGATTGGTTTTACTTGGCTACGTGTATTCATATACATATCTATCACTCACTCTTTTCCCTCCGCATCCGTCGGTCTCGCTCATACTTACTTACATAGGAAAGGCATGCATTGCAATGAGAATACGTAATTTGTAGGGCATTTTGTATGTTTTCCGTAGAGCTTAGCGCTTAGTTAAAGACGTGGTTTGCTGAAAAGACGTTCTCGAAACACATTTCGCGGGTCTTTCGAAATAATACACAACACATTACAATATACAAAAAAAGCTTTTAACATTTTAGTTCATAATTATTGAAAATTTGGACGTAAATAAACTCCGGACCGAACATGGACACGGACAGTGAGCGCGAGCGAAGTAGTGATCCCAATCTATTAACCAGTAGCGATAATCATACATTTCACGACGACGACGACGACGACGATGATGATGACGACGATGCTGACTCTTCAGCGCCAGAATATGGCGAGGATATTGGTGATATGAGAGACATTGATTTCGGTTCCATCAGTGATGTCGTGACGCACGCGGGTAGTGATGTATATGACATTGATGATGACGATGACGATGACGTTGATGATGATGACAACGATAATGCACGCACTGAAAGAACATGTCTTTTAGTTTCAGACGCTTATAAAGTACGCCGAAATAGACGCTCGAAGAGTAGGCAACACGTTAAACGAAGACTACATCAATCGCTTGAACGTGAAGCGACAATCCCACTTAACACGTCCAAGAAAAGGAATTACAATAAAGGCATCAAGGCGACAGGAAAATATACTTCGGAAGAGGACGAAGAACAAGTACCGCTGAAACAAAACAGCTGTGATGAAAGGCAATACGAGCAGTCCGAAACCGATTTAGGCGAGTCTGTTGGCGCAAAAGAGACCACAGATAGTTATGAATCGGCTGAAGTTTATACTGTACAAGTTATAAAAATTAGTGGTAATCTAGGTGATAGCTCCGTAGAGGACGGAGACATCGACGAAGAACCCTTTAAGAGTCTAGACGCTCCTGATGACGATACCAAAAACTTCAACGAAACAATCGCAACAGCCCCAGTGGAATTTAATGTTCAGCCATCAACAGTTGTATGCGGTGCTACACAAGTGTCTGCAGAAATCGATGCTAAATATAATGAAAGTAGCGCCTGTTTAGAAGAGCTAACAGATTGCGCCGTGCCGACGGCTGCTCATGCAAGTTTTGAATTGTTTGAAGAAGAAATCGCTGTTATTAATACCAAAGTAATAGAAGAAGAATCTGCAAGCGACATACGCGAGGAGAACGACATTATCAAGGATTACCAACTAAAAGAGTTTTCAAAAATAGAACAACATTCGGTGCTAGTGTCCGACAAAAACGTCAACGACGAAGGTGACAACGACAGTTGCGGCGGTGACGACCTCACAAGTTCGCAATGCTTAACTACAGCGCCCAAAGCAAACGCAATCAACAACGAGAGCAACACGTCTACTACAAACATCGGCAGCGTCTTGGCGGACGAAGAGAATTGGCGCGATAGTGTACGCGAATCGATTGAGTGTTACTACTCGGCACAGGATCTGCTAGAGTACGGACATCTCTTGAGTAGTGGCCTTAAAACACCAGACATTGAGTCTGGTTATTTTGAAAAGTCCGAATCGGATATATCACGTGATGAGAACGAAGTGTATACGAATAATTTAAGCAATAGGATAAGACAACGATCATTTTCGAAATCGTATAATACACAGTTAACCAATATGTCGGAGAGTTTACGTTTCGAATTGAATCGCTTTAAAACGATGATCGAGTCGATCGAACGTGAACGCATTTATGGCCAAACGCCGCAAACGAAACAAAACACGTTCGAGTCGGTTACCAAAGCAGAAGAGAGTTATAATATTGATATGGAGGCCGAAGTAACGGCAGCGGCCGATGCGGTTGCGGAAGCGGTATCAATAACAGTTATCGGTGCCGAAACCGTCGAAATGACCAATGCGATGGATGTGGATGAGGAGGAAGAGATGGATGTGGAGGGTGCTGTGGGCGGCGATGATGATACACGTGGTTATTGGTCTACGGTTTTCGGACAAGCCAGTCAAATAGAGGAGACCACGCCGGAAATGACGCTTGACGAACGCTTTGCCGATATACAAAGTATGATAAACTGACTTTTTCACAAAAACACAATTATAAATTTAGTTTTTTTCACAACTGCACCCACTAGCTTCATAAATAAATAAATATTATATATAGTATAGGAATTATATTATACATATGAACATTTATCATATGTATTCTAACTAAATCAAGGTATTTAAATGCTTTCGCTATTAAACTGTCCGTCCTAGCGACAACATAATTAGCTAAGCTTTTACTGCATTAACAAATACATATACCCTCTCTCTCTCTCTCTCTCTCTCTCTTTCTCTCCCTCTCTCAAACACTGCATGCTAAAATTTACAAGTATTTTCTGTTTCTAACCTTGCTTTCTCTATTATTGCAGAAGCACATCGTGCCCTTGAATTATTGGAGGATTATCACTCGAGACTATCAGAGCCGCAGGATCGTGCACTGCGCATAGCCATCGAACGGGTGATACGGATTTTCAAATCACGCTTATTTCAAGCCTTATTGGGTATGTATTCCTATCAAATATGTATTTTATCAGTCCCTGTAGGAAAATGCTATATGAAATTTATCTCGGAGAACAACTTCGATCACAGTGTGTTATAAAATCTGACCAATGAATTCAGATTGGTCAGAAGCTTGCGATATTTATTCCTGTAAAGTAAAAATTTTTGAAAATAATTGGCCTTTAGGAACTTTTTAATAAGTTTTCCAATATGTGGTATTCTTGGTCGAGAGTATTCTCTTAAAGTATTTTTTATGAACATAATAATATATTTTTAGATATAAGAGTATTTAATTTTTTTTGAAAATCAAAATGTTGAACCATTCTCAGACCAAAGACTGTATGGTTTTCTAAACACCTATATTGATTGCTCGAAAATGCACAATGTAGTTGGTGCGGGAATATACAGTCCCGAGTTATGCATGAGGAAAGCTTTTAAGTTGATGGACCACTGCAGTTTTATATATTTCAAGCTGAGGTCTTTGATATTGCGAAAGCCGCGAAGCTGGCCTCTAATGCACTTGCAGGCAATTCCAGAGTCAACATTTACGTACGCAGCCAAGCAGCAATCAAGGCAGTAGCGTCGTATCGCATATCGGCCAGAAATGTCTTGAGAAGCAGAGCAGCAGTGGAAAGTGTTGTCAGAAGTAAGTAACTGAACTTCTACTGGGTTCAAGGTCAGAAAGATACCGGAGCAATGAAGTAGTGAACGAGATTGCCCACGAAGGGTGTACGGTTAACGAAAACGTGACCAATATTGGGAAACCCATCCATTGTTTATACGACGATCTCGACAGAAGCATTTTGAAGAAAATCAAAACCCCATAGAACAAGCTACCTGAGTGCAAAACTGCAAAGGTCATGTGCAAAATGGTAGATCGGTAGCACACAAAATTCCTATTGTCACTCGATAGAAGAGACTGTAGGAACATAATGAGAATACTAACTGGTTACTGTCTGGTGGCGACACACGCCTGTAAGATGGGGCTGACAAATCGAGATGTCTGCTGGAAATGCCTAGAGCGGGAACATCTCTTGTGTATTTGTCCCGCATTGGCAAGACTACGCTGTAGGCATCTGGGGTCGCCACAGTATGAAACACTGGCGGAGCTATCCACAGTGAAGCCTCAGAGTCGGTTAAAATTCGCGTCAAGCGCGGGCATCCTAAACTCTTGGCTCCTTCATCTGAACTTCATCCGGCATCGCAAAGAACCAAACTGGTCTATGCAAGGCGGCCAATAAGCCAGATTTACCTAACCTCTATTTTTGACTTTTGAATTGAGTATTAAGATTTATCGGAGTTCGTGGTTTCTGGTGGAATCGGTTGAAACTCGTATTAGTGAGTGTATTAGCTCTATGAATTATTTTTGCTCTTCAAGCTATGTTGTTTGAATATTATTTGCTTTAGTCTGGGGATCCAGCTTTGAAATTGTTGATTACCTTCCGTGTTGTTTTCCGCGACCTTGTTATTCGCGAGCTGTTAATCCACAAAGTTCAGAAGGCTAGTTCAGTAGTTAAATAAATGAGATAAGGAAAACTTGTACTACCAATGAAAATTTTGGAAGCATTAAATCTTATGTAAAAACTTATTTATATAGATAATATCGGTGTTAATGCACTTTTAAGAATGTATTTTTAACCATCGATATAGTAGAATACTCACGAATTTCTACTTAGAACAAAGGATTACTTATTTGCAGATCTAGACCGATTCTAAAAGGTAATTAATGCGAATTGATATGGGTTTCCGAACAGATCAAACCATTTTACGTTATATCATTACTCCTTATGTAATGTTCCAAACTGAGCTGTATCTGCATCTTAATATTTCTAGAAATGAGTTGCCAGTCGTCTTCGGGGAAGCTTTGCTATTATAAGTTTTCCTGTGAGGTCATTGACGAGCATAATGCGATTTCCTAGCGGAAAATGATGAACCATCACATCGTTAATTGTGCATAAGTTTATCGATTATGGATTTCACCCACTTTTACCTTCACCTCGGCATGCATGCTTACAACAGTGTTGCACTTTACTCGTCCTATGGCAATCAGCATTATTACAGGGCTGATGCACGAGGCCACGTACACGTATTTGGGTCATCGCTTTTAGACTTGCGACGCTCTCTCAACGGTACAAATGAATGGAACGAATGAAGTGCACACACACACTCGAGCATGCACGTACGTTTGTCTGTTTTGTGTATTTATGCGATGGGTATTGCATATGTACAAACTTTCATACGAAATGGGTGGCTGTGTAATTGTGTGATCATTCCGAGTGCTATGTTGTTTATTTAGCTTATATTACTATTGTTGTTCTTGTGGTTGGTTAGCTGTCAGTTGCAGTTGCTGTTAAAGTTTATTGTTGCGGCGTTTATCTCGTAACACGACCGAAGCGCTGACTTTTGAATAGATGCGTTTGGCTTTTCCAATTCAATTCTGTTGAGGTTTGAAACACTTTTGATTAAAAAAGTAACCAATCAATCGGCTACATCAGTGTCAGTTGGTAAATTTGTGTCAGACTATTTACGCACTCGGAAATCGAACACGGCTTTTTCATTTCAAATTTAAATTATTATTGTTAGAACTTCACTAGCTTTAGAATTTCTTGTTATGTACGGCTGTAGCCTTCTTTTCAACCATCGATTAAACACTTCCACGCGAATGTAATACTTTCTCGGTTGAAGGTGGCCTTGAATCGTTACTCAGTCATACATATATTTTCACCATTTCGCACTACTTCCTTACAATTTTCCAGAAACCAAAAAAAGATACCGAAACCCTGTTAATAATCGTCGAATAGAGAAAGTCGAGGTCGGTCACTTAGTCCAGATGGACGTGATTATTGTTCTGAAATTCTTCGACTTTAACAACACATGATTTCAACACGTCTGCCTCTCTATCAAATTCAAATTCGAGGTAAGAGCACATTCTATAAGCTCTCTATACCATTAATCTAAGTTATGCACTCATTTAAGAAAGATTTACGTGGTTCGCAAATAATCACAAAAAGTATAGATCCGGTCTGATCAAATTTGATCCTGACTGAAAACATTTTTATACGTATTTTGTTTAATTAAAAATATTAAATCTTTATACGCYCCTGAGTCAGTACAAGTATGAGAAGCGGATTTTCAGTTTCGAAAACAGGAATCCAAATCTGACGAAAATGACGGCTACGCGTTGACCTTCCTTTCATGTTTGGCCACAAAGTCAGTCACAATATGCTAGAATGCATACCATTTCAGTCGTTTACGATAATTTACTTCACGAGATTCCTCAAACGGCCCTACCCTGTGGAACAGATTCATCGCGAACCTCATCGTGGTGATCAAACAAAACTTGGGTATTTACATTTCCGGGTCATTCGCTAGATTGTTGGACAGTCGGTCATATTCACAACTATACCTAATACATGAACCAAAATGTGTTTAGTCGATCCATAACAGATCTTGAGATCCTCTGAAACCTCGCTAATCTCAATACGGCGATGGTAGGGTGACACATATGAAGCAAATCTTCGTTTGCAACCTTCACGCAATGCTTTGACACTCAAAAAGTATGCTACTTAATGTAGCTAGGCTGGTGAAAAGCCTTTATCCAGTTTTAAGTTATAATCCAATAAAATATTTTTAATTTAATATATTTTTTGCAATTCTTGTATTGACTGCGATACACTTAAAGTCAGCCTAACATTTTCATAAAAATTCAATTTCGATTATGTATCCGTTGTCAGGTTTGGGGGGGTATTTGCGGTGCTGATGTAAGCCACAAAAGTTTCTTTTTCCTCTCCACCGTCTAAAAACCGCAGCTCAGTGCCCGCTTCGAAGGGCAGAAACAGAATAGATCCACGTTTTAATTGCGTTTGTTTGACACCGTTGACTTCGAGAGTGCGTTGACCACTTAAAACCAGCATTATACCAGGAGATTGTTCAATTTGTAGCACGTAAACAGCATCTTCGGGTCTCAATGTTATTTGCGTGACTGCAAAATCTTCAATAGGTGGCTTGTATATCACCTGCTGATCACTAATGCGTTCGGATTTGACTATTATGTCCTCGGCAGTGGAACTTTTGTAGTTCAGTATGTTGGATAAATGTTTGGTATCTCTATATTTCATTGTTAAACCGGCACGGATTGCATTGTCAGAAGGCGGCATGCACTCGATACAGTCGCCAGATAGATAACTATGAATTTGACCTGTATCGGCGAACATCGCTTGACCCGGTTCCAGACGTATAACATTCAAAAAGAATATTAAAATCACACCAATATCCCTGGGAAAGTCCCTTTTGAGCACATTGAATATTTCCAGCACATCGAATTTGCACATTTCTTTGCCAAATTCTTTGGATATTTCTTCCACGCATTGAGTTACAGTTTCTAAGTCTCTATCAAATATTCTTTGATAGCAATTTCGCAAACCCTGTTCATCGCCCGCAGCCAAAAGGTCGATGTCATCAGAATCGGCCATAACAAATTTTTTTAGTGGATATATATCCATTAACATATTCTTGATTTCGGATAGTGGCCGGAAACCACACACAGCTACAAAGGGTGTTAGAGCAATTGCCATTTCAGGTTTATGACAGGAATCCTTATAGAATTTTGGCTCTCTTAAATGCAAATATTCCGCGTCAATTTTGTTCGGATGAACGTGTAAACTAATCGCCTTGTTCATACTCAACACTTTAAGCATAAATGGCAACTCCGTTGATAATGCTTCGCCATTTTCTTTGTAGATCGCAACATCGCCTGGGTAGGAGCCTACACATAGTTGGGCATAAGGCAAATTATCTTGGAGCTTAAATCCCGGGTTGTTAAGTGCTGCCAGTTGTGCCACTAAGGAGTCATTACCTATTTTCCCCCAATCGAATCTGTAAACCAATCCAATCAGTTCCATAAGTATTTTTAAAATATTAAAGTCTAACAAATTTGACTATTTTTGTTAGAATTTTGTCTGCTCGGTTCAAAAAGAATCTGAATGAAAATATGAAGGGAAAGTAATTTTTTACTTTTTATAAAATTTACTTTTAGTGTAGTAGAAAATATGAGTACGCAATAATTACACTTCAAATTACATTTTAAAATTTAACATACCTTGGGTAACTTTTTTCTGCAACGACAGAAGATGCTATCGACTGAAGAAAGACTTAATAAATTTCCTCTTTTTATACCCTGAGCAGGGCATATTCAGTTTGCTATGAATTTTGAAAAATATAAAGTGTGATCCAATTTGAGGTTCCCTACTTTTTTAAGGAAAAAACACAGACACTTCAAATTTAATGGGGAATACAAAAAAGAACGTTTTTCCGACTTATGCTTTGAAGATTATCGCTTTCAAATGTTGGTCGAGGTTAAGTCTGAGATGGTCCAGAGGTGATGGCTCCAAGGGCTGAATCGAAACGGGATTCTCCGCATAAACTTTAGACTTTATTTATGCTTAGAGGAAAAAGTTTAACGGTGTGATGTAACACAATCTTAGTGGCCAATCGAAGGGCCCAAAACAAGAAATTTTCTGCTCACCGAAGTGTTCTCTCAATAAATCCATTAATTGATGCGATTTGTGGGAACTGTCGCCGTCTTGTTTCAACCAAATTCTCAATTTCAGTCATCAAATAGTCGGTTATCATGGCGCGACAACGGTCGCCATTGACGGTTACGTTTTCGCCGTTATCATTTTTGAAACTATGGATAGATGATTCCACCGGATTCAATAAAATTAAGGTTGGTCTTCGTCCCAAATGTGGCAATTTTGCTTGTTTACATAACCATTGAGCTTGCAATGGTATTCATTTCTAAACAAAATTTGGCTCGAAAAGTCGGATCTTCTTGGAACTAATCAAAAGTGAAGCGATGTCGTTTGGGAAGATCAGGAGGCTTCAGTTCTTGCACAAGCTGGATTTTATACGCTTTCAATTTAATAGTATCTCTACGAAAGAGGTGCCAAGTTGCTGCGACAAGCTCCGAATGATTCATCAGCATTTATTCTATGGTGTCTAGCAACATAAACAGACAATAAGGGCTTGGTATGGATAAGTTGATCGTTGTGAAAGCAAGTTGAAGTGCAATTCATAAATTTTTGGATTTTTAATAGTAAAAAGATGCCTGATCCATTGTCTCATGTTGTTTCTTATTTGAAGAGCTCCAACCGTTGCTCGGAATCATCAATCCGTTATTGTTTGTGATCGGGTGTCAAGGGTCTTAGCTGTTGATATAATCCCATTACGCAACGCCAATATATCTTTCAAAGGTTAGTTAGTTTTTCAAAGTCAGGGTTTCCTTTCGAAAATAGTGTATCACATTTACAAATTCCAAATTTATTACTTTTCGGTGAACTTGTACTACACTAGTTTAAATTAAATGTCCTAGATAACCACCTAATCCTAATCAAACGGTGAATTTCTAGAAAGAATTGTGAGGAATAAATAAAAATTCTAATTTACTTTAAATAACTATTTTATGATTTTCTAAATACTCAAATATAATTCTGAAATCGGTATAATATACTTATTCTAATGAAGAGCATATGACTTTTTCTATAGACCTCTCAATCATAGCCGAACAAAATTTAAGCCAGATTATGACATTTGTCCAAAGCGATTGTTGTTTATCTCGCTCTATTTGTCTGGATGTTATAAAGGAACAGTATTTTTGACAATATATTCTAAATTAGAGAGTTTCCTCCTTAAAAAGACTTCCTACAACGTCAATGTGGAACTATAAAACTTCCCTTCTAAGGCACAGTTGTAAAGCGATCCGTAAAGCTGCATTGGCTCCAAATAGACCTGATCTTTGTAATCTTCCCTCTATAGAACTCTTAGCAAAACATTATTTAAAGAACAATACCGTCAGGGCTATGGCTCGGTGGTTGGTTGGTTGGGTGTTTCTTTTCAGTAGATTTAGTAAAAAACCTGAATTTTTTTCACCCCATCTGCCCAATGACTCTGTTATAGTAGCACGGTCGATTGTTGCATTTTTTTAAATAATTAAACAAAATTTTGTTTATTTTATTTTATTTTA